ATTAAAACATATATTATAAATTTATTTTAATTATATATAGCATATTAGTATTATAAATAAATATCAATTAAATAAATCTACATTTGTTTATCCAATAACTTTTTACTTGACAAAATTTTTAATACATAATGTATGTTCTCACAGAAAATCAATATTCAATATAAAATACTACTACACAATTCTCTACACTTCACATTAAAAAAATAATAATAAATAAATTAATACTTCAAACTAAAATACTAAACAAATAAATATTTTCAATTACAAACTCAACTATTAACCAAATGCATCCTTATTCGGCTTTAAGTAATAATGTAATATTTACTTTCAAAACTATTATATTAAAATATTATTTAAATTTAAATAAATAAAAAAGATAAAATGCTCAAATCAACCTTAATTTAACCTTCAAACCCTAGTATATTATATTATATACACATTTTCTATCATAATAAAAGATTTGACACAAAAATTAAAAAATAATATTTGAATACAAATAAAAAGTAAATAAAAGTATTATAAAAAATATTATTAATATTAATTAAAAAATAATGAAATTTTAGAAAAAATAATAGTAAATTAATTATTATAAGTAGATAACAATCTAAATAGGAAAAAAAAATGGCATAATAATAGGTTACATAAAGAATATTATTTTCTTTATTTAGTACAAAAAAATAAATGTATACTGTTAAATAAAAAAAATATTCTATTACTTTTTTCGTCGAATTGTAATCTTCTCATTTAACTTTTGCATGCGGATTAAAAAAAATTAATATTTTATAAATATATAGTGTTAAAAGTAATGTAATGTTTATTTTATTATTAAAAAGTAATTTGAAAAACAAAAAATAAAGGTATTTTGATATTTACTTTAGAATTATTTTTTTAAAAAATGAAATGATAAGTTTTTATTTGGATAAACTAAAATGAAAAATGAGAAGTTTAGTAGTGAAAGAGTATAGACCAAGAAAAAAAAAGGGGGGCATAATAATAGGTTACAGAAAAGAATATTATATTTTATAATTTAGTACAAAAAAATAAATATATACAGTTAAACAGAAAAATACTCTATTACTCTCTCCCTTCAATGGTAATCTTCTCATTTGATTTTTGCCTGCGAATTAAGAAAAATTAATATTTTATAGGTATATAGTACTAAAAGTAATGTAATTTCTATTTTACTTTTAAAAACTAATGTGATAAACAAAAAGTAGGGGTATTTTGATATCTAATTTAGAGTTACTTTTTCTAAAACAAAATGAAATGAAAAGTTTTGATTTGGACAAATTAAAGTGAAAAATGAAAAGTTTAGTAGTGCACGAAGAAAATACTTGTTTTGACATATGGTCAAAACCCTCATCGTTGATGTTGTCGTCGTTAGATATCAAATGCAGCAATGTTGACTCATCAGGTTGTTACAACAATCAGTTTACAATCCTGATCTGCCTTGTCACCAATTGGTTTGGTGGATGCATGAGACAAATTGGATTATTTTGGGTGGTTAACTTGGATCAGAATTACGCAGGAACACACAATACAATTTATTTATAAAGAAAATTTAATGCGTTTGTTTTGTATACCCAACATGGCTGCGGTCTTGTAAACCGTGAAGTATGTTTTGGTTGTGAGTAAGTGTTTGGAGAGACTTGTTTACTGAGAGAAAAATGTGATTCATGCTCTCAATTATAAGTGACAATTTGGCCGATCTGGTATTTTCGTGCCGGTTCAGCCCGACTTGGCCCAGCTCTAAACCGTGTTGTCCGGGAATGGCCCAATTTGAAATAGAGCCGTGTCGGCCTGACCTATTTTTTTTAAAAAATTATTTACTTCCCGTTTTTAAATTTTAAATTAAATCAACAATAAAAGTTTTCAAATGATAAAATGTGCCATCAAATTATGCTTTGATTTTTGTCTTTATTCTATTAGTTAATATATATATATATAACAATATTAAATACTCAATATTAATTTTAAAAACCAAGCCAGGCCAAGTGCGGCCCGACTTTAATGAGCCTAGGCATGGCTAGCTTCATTGCCGTGTTAGGCTAGATACTGTCCGAAAATTTTTGGGCATATTTTTTTTAGGCCTAAACACGAAATTTTTTGTGTTTGGTTCGGACCGAATTTTTTTTTTCGTGACTATTTTTGCGAGTTCTACTCTCTAGCGCATCTTTTCTTTCCTGTATTTTGAGTTAGTGCTGGTAAACTTTTACCCGCCGGAGGGTTCGTCAGAGGAAGGAGTTATCGGAGTTCAAATCAGGAGAGATGTCCAAATTCTGACCAGTCCTGTACTATGGTAGTTGTCCGTACGAGTTTGTTAACCTGAAGAGGGAATTTCCAAAGTAAGTCAGGGTAGGAGGTTGGGTTGAAAGGGTTGTGATTTGTCTATGTTCTATAATCACTACTGATTAATTGAACTTCTCTTGGATTGGTATCCCGGATGTAAGTTGATTTGTAATTGAACCGGGTTAACAAACGCTTGTCTCATTATTGTATTTCTACATACATATTTGGCAGTAAAGTATTGTTGTAATTGTGAGAAAATAGATTTATTTCAAATACATTTATGCCGGATGGAAAAATAAATTTATTTCAAAATTATTCGTTCAAATGCTTATTTTTATTTTAATTATTACATCGTATTCAAATTTACGGTATCAAATGGAGTATTTAATTATATGGCATTAAAATTTTATTTTTAATTTTAATCCAGATACAGATATATTAATATTAAAATATATATATATATATATATTCTAGGGCCGCCATGAGCCCACCCAGAAAAATAGTTGTTGGACAATAACAAAATTTTATACCAAACCTAAATTAAAGACACCTGCTGACCTCGTTTTACATCTAAACAATGCTGACATTATGGAATTTTTTTTTTCGATTTTCAACAAAAATATTATTCATATAAATATATATATATTTTAATAAAAATATACTCCCTTTGTTATTTATGTTCATATTTTTAAAAATATTTTATTTTGTTAGAAAATGATAAAAAAATGTATTTTGAGTTAAGATAGATGGAGTACTAGTATTTAATTTTATTTAGTTAATGAAAGCATATAAAAAAATTTGATATTTTCGTCATTTTATTTGTGTATAAATTAATTATATGTATATTATTTATAATTTAGGTAAAAATTAAAGATATTATAGTATTAGTTTATTATTAATTTTTTAAAAATAGAAAATAGATTTTTTAATATAACAAATGTAATGATAAAAATACAAATATATTTTGAGTTGAGATAAAAAGAGTATCACTTTTAGGGGAGTGTTTCCAATGATTACATTATAATACTAATGACTATTTCAATAGCTTAAATAATCGATGGATTAATTAATATAATGTTTATATTAACTTTGATAGATTAAACGATATATAAAAATTATATTATATTTCTTTTGTTAAATTATATGACATGATTAATTTTTTTTATCCAAAATATCTTTCATAATCATATTATAAATTATATAATTTGTTTTATACATTTTTTCTTTCTAAGTATAACAATATAATATATAACAATTCATTAAAATTTTTAATTGTAATATCATTATGATATGTATATAATTTGATATAATCTTTTTTTTTTATTTTTTTATTTTTTCTTATAAATGAAGTATATTTAATTTTATCTTCAAAATTATAAATTAGTTTTTGACAATATAAGATATCTCATTTTTATCACTTTATATTTCTTTGAGTAAGATAAATACATATATATATATAATTACTTTTAAAATGAATTCAAAATAATTTTAAATAAACATTAAACAAAGATATTACTCCCTCCGTCCCAAAACAAGGTTACAATTTCCTAATTTAGTAATTGTACTACCTACTTAACATAATAAATACTCTTTCAACTTACAATATTAGACAAATGTCATTACTTTTATATTACACCATAAGACTAAGGATAGTTTATTAATTTTACTGAGTTGTATTAAATAATATTAGAGTGGTGAATTAGATTAATAATCTTATAAATTGATATTAGTGTATTGGACCTACTATTATATCCTAATACATTAAAGTAAACATGCTATTAGCTCGGATAAAATAATATTATCCGACCTATTAGTTTTTTATAAAATATTTAAAAATAATAAATATTCTTTCAATATTGTCATACTTATAATAACATTACTTTAACAATATTCTTTTTTTAATTTTTTATTTTTTACAATATTCAAAGTTTTGGCTGCAGACAATTCGTACTTTTTTTTAATATTAACACTTGCCAATATTTTACAGTTTACACAACTGCTCAACTAACAAGTAGGAGTAGTTGTTTTCATATCATACAATAATATCCAAGTGTGTGGCAATATCTTTGTGGAAGATAAACAAACAAAACACAATTTATCAAAAATAAAATATTCACAAATATAACGTTTGTCTAGATAGAATTTTTTAAGTTTTTGATAAATAAATAAATAATTAATTAATTAATTAAGAAGAAATTACAAGAATTTTGAAAACAAGTTCAAAGTTGAGCACATATATATATATTGAAATAAAATTAAAATTGGCAACACCACCTAAAGTTTGCATAATAAAAGATTCTGTAGATTAGACCATATTTCACTGGGGGATTTTCCTTAAGTTTTTCACCTTTAAATCTTTATGTTATCTAATAAAAAATATCTCACAAAATATCTACTCAAATCACTATTTAAATAAGGATTCAAACTCAAAATCAAAATCCAGAATCACACTTAAGGGTCTCTTTCTTTTGGGATTATTTTGAATTGGATTTTAATTTAAATATTGATTTTAAGAGAATAATATATTTTTATTGAAAAACATACGGACTAAATAATAAAAAAACACTACAAAGAACCCCAAAAGAAACAGATCCTAAAAGTTAAAAGTAAAACAAAAAAGCAGACATCCAACACCTAATTTCCATCTAAAATCAAAATACTCCCAAGATCACAACAAACAAACACACCCTTACTATCGAATACTAATGGAATTAACAAAATCACACACCCTAACATACACTACAAAAAACATAAGCCTCATAAGGTTCTTCCTAAGATAATGAATCCATACTTCTCAGTATAATCTTGTTTCTGCTAAACAAATCCGTTAACTACCAAGACTTGTTCTAAAGAATCAGAGTATTATCCGAAAGCAGATTATTCCGTGCAGCCAGTTTAACAATATATAAAGATTTGCCAGAAGATAGTTAAACACAAGGGAAAAGCAGTAAATAATTATAATGCATCGGTACCTTTACAAAAGCACTGTTTAAGTGGTCAGACCTCCTGTTGCGAATGATTCAAAGTAGTTTGAAGTTGATTGTTTCCTTCGATTTCTGATGGTTGTGGTGTGCAAGAAGTGCATAGCTTAAAGTCTGGAGGAGGAGAATCCGAGACACTAATTCGAAATGTCTGCTCAGGCTGTTCATTTCCAGGGACATGAACCAGAGCTTCCATTATTAGAATCTCCCAGTCTCGGGGCCGTAGGATCGAAAACAATGTGTCCTCTGTTCAAGATAAAAATGCAGAAATTGATGAAAGAAGCATAAAGTTAAGTATCAGCATGTTTCTACTCTGTTCGACACAACCAAGAATTTAACTCAAAGAACATTCAACTCGATGGCAGCTACAAATAAACTAGAAATTAAAGTTTGGTTCAAATACTAGAACCGAAAAACAGTAACTACGTAGGATCTGAGAGAAGAGGCATGAATTATTTTTTTTAAATGGTCTGAAACAAACCTCCATTACGCACTGCTTTCAGTTGAAAAATTCCGGATCCTTGAGGTCCAGAAACGGGAAAAGTGCATGCTACAGAGTGCCGCTTGTGAGCTACTGCAAGTGAAGCATTGTACCAAGGGCCCCTCTCAATAGGCTCCCCGATAGCTTCAACTATCGCCTGGTTCTTGCTGGCTTTCTCCAAGGCCTTTCTGAAAAGTTGAAAATTTTCTTTACAGTGCAGCCACAACACTTAAATCAATACGAAAACTTCATTACACAATGCCAAGAACATTAGAAGGTCGCATGTTTCTTCTTTATTTTCATAGTAGCCTATAGTAAAACAAATCATCATCAAAAGCTTACAGACTTAAACTAGTGTAGTGCAGATTATGCGAGGAAGTCGTAAAAAGTACAAAAATATTCTTCATACCTGCCAATTATTGACATCAAAATTTCGATAATCTAACGTAGCTGAAAACAGTGGTTTATAGTCTTTCTTGGAGGTTATGATTTCCCTTATTGGCCTATTACGGGGATAAACTCTAAGCAAACCATTATTACATTTATGAAATTGAGTAACATTATACTGTTCTGCTAAACATGAGCTTCTTCTACAAAAGCCTTCAATCACAAGGTTACGTAATGGAACTGTACGATAAACATTAATTCTGGTTCTTCATCTACCATGATACAAACAGACGAGCACAGTAGATAAGGAAAGAGAAGTATTCCTGGAATTGCAAGTTTTTTCGAATAAGAAAAAGAGTATCAGTTGTTTATCACACATCCTTTCTGGAAATCAATGATAAGTGTTTATGTTTTCATTTGATAAGAAAAGGTAAAAGAAACACAGTCCACACAATTGGGAAGCTAATAGGATTGGGAACAATAACTCAAATCCTACAATTGTGATTTCACATTCCAATTCGAACTTACTGTAAATCCATGGAAGCATGCTTGATAGCAACCTTCAACTTTATTAACATTAAGGTGTGCATACAAAATCGATATACTGAACATTTGAATTTATATTAACTAATACAAACAAAGCTCTTTCATAATGTGTATCCAATCTTCGGGAAATAAATGAAATTAAGGCTTCTCTACCATCCATCAACTCCCAATCATCTATGTACGAAATTTGCACTGAAAATTGAAAGGAAAATCAAATAGTATAAATCATCACAGTTGAAGATGCAATAATCACTCAATGTCGCCACTCATCACACGGAAATTAACAAGTCAAATCTAAAGAAACTGAAAAACATATTCCCTGGATGAAATCATGCAATTTGCATATAAGAGAGAGAGAGAGAGAGAGAGAGAGAGAGAGAGAGAGAGAAAGAGAGAGAGAGAGACTTGCTGCAGCTATGGTAAATGGCCAAATCATCGAGAGCACTCAAAGCGACACCTCCGACTAAGCAAATCAGTGCTCCTGACACTAGTTTTCGAGCCCACGGATTCGACTTCCCTTGCCCGGGTGCCGCCGATGATAACGGCGCGGCCGCCGCCGCCGATCTATTCTTCAGCAGAAGCCATATACTCCGACCGACCATTCTTTGGTTTCCTTCGTTCTCGGATGGGGTTTCGATGTGAAGATGACGGGAGGGCCATAAACGTAATTTCACGGTGACGATATTTTTCCCATTCAGACAGAAATTATGCACCATTCTTTATTGCAAAATATTCCACGCTATTTTTTATAAAAGCAATATTATTGAGATGGACATGGTGGGCAAAAAATTTAAACGAACCGTTGAATGACCTAAGTTTTTTATTAATACAACAAATTCAATTCGAATATAAATATTTATATTTGAAAATATTTGTTTTGTTTAGTTTCATTTTGATTTTTAAATTTTTTTTACTTAATCAAACTAATATATTTTTATATTTATATTATTATATTTTAAATTTTATATTAATAATTATATTATATACATATTCGATTTGTTTTTATTTTGAATTTTTGCAAATATTTGTATTTAATTAGAATTTGAGTTTTTTCTTTTAAATGTGTTTATTTATATATTCATTGGGTTCGAATTATTTTATAATAATGTAGATAATTTTTGTTAATCTTCGATTAATCAATATTTTAGATTTGAATATCAAAACATCTATATATTTGTAAATAACGGAACTATGGGGTATATATTTTGGCGAGCCAAAATCAATATTGGTACCAGTAAATATCAGTTTTATTAATTTTAGTCTCTGTATGAGAAAAATAAATCAAAATTGATCCCAATTAAAATAAATCTCATCAATTGTAATCTTTGTATTGACTCTTCGATAAATCAATAATAGTATGACATGTAAAATTTATTGTAATTTTTTTATTTGAAAAATCAAATATATATTTACAAAATAATCCTTATATTTTAATTAAACCCAAGTTCTAATTTCAATTTCTAATATCTCACTTCGATATTTCAGGACCAGCTGTGCTCCCCTTCATCTTCTCCGACATTGTTTCTGTCGCTGCCAGGGATTCTTTTCACCGCCAATATTGTCTTCGCTCAACTTCTGCACTACTCATCCATCCGTCGTTCTTCTTGTTCTCCCATTTGATTCGGTAATTTCTTTAAAATGATATATATATTTTTTTTATTTGTATAAAATGTTTTGCATATAATAATGATTTAACCTTCGATTACAGTTTTGGTGTGTTCTCAACCTTGTCTTCTCTTCATTCATCTCTTACAAAATCGGTAACGGTTTTAGAAGATCTTTTTTTTTTTTTTTTTTTTAACTTCAAAGATAATATTGCGAAAATATACCCTCACTTTTATTTTTCCCTAAGTTATTTACTTGTAAAATATTTTTATCAATATTTTAATTCAATTTTTCTCTTATTGTATTTCTTTATTGTAGACCTTGTAGTTCGGTTTTATTCTATTGAAGCAAATGCTTCAACAATAATAATCAACGTCTCGTCAATTAGAGTTTATGAATATGTAAGATAATATTGGAAATGATGGTGGAAGTCCAATACAAATAGTTGAGCCGAATGATCCTCCGGCCACTTTGGAAGAAACTCCTACAATTGGAATGGAGTTTAATTCGGAAGAAGATTCATATAAGTTTTATTTATCTTATGCCACGAAAGTAGGCTTCGGCATTAGAAAACATAAATTTCATAAAGATCAAAGTGGAAATGTAATTGATAGACAATTTGTCGGTAGTGCCAAAAGTCAAAAGGGAGAAGATAAAATAAATATCAATGTGAAAAATCAACGAGCTATAACAAGATTTGGGTGCAAGGCTATGATAAAAATTTGTTTGAGAGATGGCATGGAATATCAAATAACTAAGTTCGTGGCAGAACATACTCATGATTTGACCAATTCCAAAAAATCTCCTTTTTTCTCGTCCCACAGAATGATAGATGATGCTCATGCTGCACAGATTGATTTGGTCGAATGTGTGGGACTTGCTCCAAAAGTATCACACGGTCTCACGGTTAAAGAAAAAGGAGGCCGAGATAGTTTAAAATTCATCAAGCAGAATGTTAAAAAATTAATTGCGATCTAAAAGAACAAAGTACATTGATGTTGAAGATACGGGAGGAGTGTTGGAATATTTACAAGGAATGCAAAATAGAGATCCAATTTTTTCTTATTCGATTCAAGTTGACAAAGATGGCTTCATTACAAATATATTTTTTGGGCTGATGGCAAGATGAAAGCCGATTATGTTGATTTCGGTGATGCAATAAGTTCCTATACTACATATTGAAAAAACAGAGAAAATCGTCCATTTCTATCAATGTCAATTAAGATATTGAAGCATGCTGCAAGCTTGTACAGCCCGGAAGTGTTCAAATTTTCCAACAAGAATTGGGAAAAACTTATGATTGTATTGGAATTGTCAGTAGTACCCATAAGACTATTACATAGTATCAAGTCAGTTATCTTGGAAGATCAAGGAATCATGTTGTTACATACAACTCGTTTGATGTTACTGTTTGTTGTATTTATAAGAAAATTGAGTTTGTCGGGATACTATGTTGTCATGGACTTAAAATTCTTACGAAAAATAGTATTTTGAGGGTTTCTGATCGATATATAATGAAGAGGTGGACAAAGTATGCAAGAGTAGGCGGTTCGCATAATGGGATTTTTTTCTCTGAACACGGCACAGATGACCCGAAGAAATATTTAAGTATCCGATATAATAAGTTGAAGTTATTATTCAGTTTTTAGTCAATGATAACTGAGACATACCTTCAATCATATGGATTTGTGTTACAAGAAGATCAAATCTTTCAGCAACCGTCGTTTTTCTTCTATTTTTCTATTTAGATTACATGGCATTGGCAAGTGCTAACTAATTATTGTTTTATATTATGCAGACAAGCATGAATGAGGTTTATATTCAACCACGTGGCAAAAATAGCAATGCAAAAGATGAAAAAACCAAAAGAGATATTGGTTGTCCAAAAAAAGAAACCTGCGAATCCCATGACAGCAGTTTTTTTTTTAAAAAATTCTAAAATTATTATTACTCCCTCCGTCTCGGAACTAAATATCCATTTGCTTTTTGCACGTAGTTTTAAAAATATTAGTATTATATTGAGATATAGTAGGAATAAAGTAGAAATGACTAAAATAACCTTATTAGTATGTGTGATATAAATGTAATGGCATTTGTGTAATATATTGTAAATTGTAAGGGTATTTGTAATGTTAGGTAGATAGTACAGTTACTAAAAAAGGAAATTGATACTTTGTTATGGGACGAACTAAAATGAAAAAATGGATACTTTGTTATGGAACGGAGGGAGTATTATTATTATCATTGTTGTTTTTGTTGTTGTTGTTTACCTATTATTGATTTATTGGCATTGCGTTGTATTCTTGTATAATTTTTTTTTTTTTTAACGCAGATTCAATCATTTAATTCTTCGTCAAACATACAATATCAATACCATGACGATTCGAATTCTTTCACGAATTTCACAGATTTACTTCAGGTATTTCTCAAAAAAAAAAAAAAGTCTAGCAACGTTATTGTTGGTAGATTAAATAATTGTATTTTCATTGATTTTTTTTTTTTAAATATTGTATGAATACAAGTTCAATCTCAAAGAAATAACCAATATTCGAATACCACAGATGAATAATAGACTGTTGTTGAAGAATGTGGGGTACATCTTTTTGGCGAGTATATTCATCTAGTATTTCAGTAGCTATGTGGTGAATGGACTAGAAAATATATTATTTTTTTATCTAATTGTAATTCTCTTTCCTTGGATTCAAAGCACAAGAAGTTGACTAGTAGTTTAAAATTAGATGGATGGATGGATGAATGTGTAATCAACAATATGCTTAAAGTAGTGTTGGAACATCTGTACTTACTCTTGCCAAGATTATAACTTTTTTATGATGATGTTTATAAAATTTACTATGTTGATGATGACTTCAAATATAAGTATATTCTTCGCTTGAAAAAACTACGTATTACTTGAATTTCTGTATAAAACTTATCACAATAACTCGTTAATGACATACTTTATTGATCTATATCGCTTGGCATGATCCAGGGTTGGTTTGTTGAGATTATTAATAATTTTCGTCCTTTTAAGCAGTGTTCTGAAGCCAGAAAAGCTTAGGCAAATGCCGCAAGCGACAATCATCTCCGCTCGCAAGCGGTGATCTCATCGCCTAGAAAAACTAAGGCAAGAGAGGCAAGCGGTAGCTTCCACCGCTCACAAGCGGCAGCCTCTACAGCTCGCGAGCGACACTCCAGACACCCACCGCAGTAGCGCGACGGCAACTCAAATATTGCCTAAGTGTCCATACTGCAGCGGTACAGTCATTCCACTACCAGCAAGCACAAGTAAGCCCGCCTAACAGCTCTGATGCCCTCATATCATTCAATTCTTCATTTTCACTCATTCCACACTTTTTCACATTTATATAAATCCTAATTGTAAAGAGTTTCACTTCACTGGTTTAGCACACAGAAAAATTGATTATCCAAGCCTTGTCTTTTGTCACAAGCATATTCAAGGTAGTTCAATGTAGTTAAGTACGTAGGAGCCTTGTCGACCTACTTAACTACTTATTTGAATTCAATTTTGATTAAAAAGAGATAACAGAAGGGTAAAGCCACTAATGAGACAAAATTCGGAATAATTAATGGGGTATAGACGGTGGTGTATTGGATTGTAGAAACTCCTAGTGACAATAGGGTTTCTTTCTTATAATGTTCTAATTCTGGGTGTCATTGAAGTCTTGTTGTAAATCTCTTAAGGTCAAATACCAGTGATAAAAATTCTCTATAATTTGGTTTATATATTTACATCATCTCCTCTTCCTGCTTTCGTATTATACACATATGTCCGTTTAAACACCAGCACCGCTCGCTCATCTCATCCAGGAAAACCTAGCCACTAAGTACAGTTCAAATACAACACCTCTCATTTACTCCCTATTGCTCAATATATATATAAATATATACTTTGTGCCATCCACTCATGTCCCGCTTGTTCGTCCACCATTAGCACTTTGCCGCTCGCTTCCTCTCCGCTACCACCGCTCACTTAGCTGCTTTTCTTTACAGTTTTTCATAGATTAAGATTTTGATCCGCTGCAAAGCGGGTCCCTTCCTTGCATTTTCCGCCGCTCTCATAAGATCTGTACTTGATTTAAATTTGTGACTTAAAATTCCTGTGTTGGAGCTCCGA